TGGGTTGGTGGGTCCTGTGTTGTCTGTCCCATTGTGGTATTGAGGTTGTGGTCCTGGTCTGAGGTGGGCTGTTCTGCTGGCTTTTCTGAGGGAGTGTCCTGCTCTCTGTCACACCTCAGCTTTCTCACTTCCTGCTTCAGTGCTGTTAGCTGTGCCATGTGTTCCTCTCTTCTCCTCCAGTGCTGTTAGCTGGGCTGTGTGATCCTCTCTCTCCTCCTTATGTTCTCTCACCTCAGTCCGGGGTGCAGCCAGCTCTCTCAGACAGCCGTCTATCTCCACCTTCAGCCCTCCGGGTCTTGTTGGGGGAGGTGTTGTTGTGCTGGTCTATTTTGTGGGTCTGTTCTGTCTGGAGTGTGTGGACTAGCTCTCTGCGCTCCACAATTTCTCTATCCAGCTTTGTGAATCTCTCAACAATGGAGGCGCAGTGCAGTTGTGGAACCTGGGTCTGTTCAGTGATTGGGGAGGGACTCTCCTCTTGGGGCTGCTCGTCTGCTGGGCAGTTTGAGGATGAGGTGTGATTAGACTCACTCAGGATGGGGAGCCCTCACCAAGAGAGAGCTTTTCCTGTTGTGCTCTCTCTTTGATCCCTCCATACAAAAACTCCTGCTTGGTGAGCGAAAACATTTTTGGGCCCAGGCGGCAGCATAAAGACCCTGAGGGATGACTGCACCGAGAGATGACGTCACCGCTGGACCCTATTGGAGAAATTGCTCTCGCTTCGCCTCTTCCTCTCTGGTTCTAATCCGCGATTCCTCGTATCCTCTCTTAGTCTTCTTCTCAAACATATTGGAGAACGTCCCCCCCTCTGACCTCCAATGCCGTTTGACGAGGTGAGGAGTGCAAGGAATCAAGGAAATAATTGAGAAAAAGCTCAAACTTGAATAACGAAAACTCCATTGAGCGTAAACTCTGCCCACTGCCTTCATTCAACATATCACATTCAAGGCCTAAACTCACCAAGGGCAAGCGAGGCGTTTGTATGATTTATTTTAGAATCAATTGTTTAGAATTATAATAACCCAACCGAAGCCGGGCGGGCAGGTTTTTGACGCCTCGCTCAATTAGAACGTGTCTGGTTATGCGTTTTATCGCTGGCGCTGTAGTCACACAAAATAATACAAACATCATATTCACTTTTTTTTGTTCGAGCTCATTTGAATTGGAAGAGGTGGCTGGCTAATGGTTGAGGCTTTACCATGCGTGCTCAATTCGCAATACAAATTAGACCAATTATTCCACTTATGTTAACACAATATCGCTATCAGCAAAATATGATTGGAGATGTGGACTATCCTGCTAGCATAGCTCTGCCTGTCCGGTACTTTCCACCCGCCCGCTACTGGTGAGTTTTTCGCTAAGAACAAGACGAAGGAAAACGCAGCTGAACATTTAGTCAACACTGCCCCCTGGTGGATAACAGTTGTACTTGAACAACAGTTGTACTTGCAAATTGAACAAAATTATACAAAAACTACTCAAAATTAGTCGTTTCGTTTCTAGATTAGGACGTAAATTCATAGTTTTTATTGGTAAAAGTACATAACACAAAATGTCCGCCAAAACTCATGTTTTTTTTGTCTAGCAATCATACATTTCAGAGGTTGAATTCCCTCTCCGTGGGTACAACTAACAAGTGGATAGTCTATTCTGATTAAACATCATGATTTTCTGTACAATTAATTATATGAGTACTGTAGGCTTATTCATAGCTGTACCCGATTATCATCATGGGACAAAAATAATGTGATGCCTCGCTCTCTAATCAAATATTACATTGTAGTGAAGTTGCAGCAGTAAACCAAAAAGTGTCCCCACTCCCCAAACACGTTATTGCCTTTCAGTTCTTGCTTTGACAAGAAGAGGTCTCTTCATGGATCCCTAATTGGACTATTTAGAGGTCCACGAAAACATTCAGTTAGATGAATGAATATCCACAATGAAAACCTTCACATTAATGATGCTCTTGTCGTGACATTACTTATTCTCTGCTCCTCTGTCCTGTCTATTTGTTTGCTAAAAGATTCCCTCACCGAAAATGGCCTGTATTGTACAACCCCCAGCAACCCCACCAAAGGGATGCTGTCATTCGGTCTGTCAAGCTCAGTGTCTGTTGTGCCCAGTGGGTCGAGGGTCATCATGGCTTCTTCTTCTCTGCTAGCTCCTCCATCTGCCTCTTTCTCATCTCCAGCACCTCCATCAGCTTGGCATCGTTCTTAGCACGCTCCTGAGCCCTCATCTCTGCTAGGTCCTCAATGAATCGGTGTCTGTAGAAGGTATACGATGTTATTACACACACAAATAAAGAGTCCACACTATATAAGCTCCTAGTAATTGATTGGGTAAACCAACATTTCATCATCACAGAAGGCAGTGTGATGCCGAAACGTTGGTGGTTGACCCAATAAATTACTGGGAGCTTATATAGTGTGCGACTCTTTATTTATTTTTATAGCCTACAGTTTACTCGCTGTTAGTCAGCACCTCTATACACACTTTTTGGGTGTGCATTCCTGCTTTTCACTAACACATTCATAGATGCTAATTACCTTTAGCGCCTATTGAAATCTTCTCAGGGGACTTTTGTTAAGAGCCCCGACCCTCGGTCTGAACGTGAACATGCATTGCTTATGGTACGGTTTTGGAAACATAAGGAAAGTATCTTTCATATCAGTGAGAAATCATTTTCAAAAAAATTGAACGGTTAAATTGATACACCTTGATAGGGATAGTGTTCCCACAGGGCCATGTTACGGTGCTTGTTTAAGGAAGACAAGAGGCGACCACCTGTGCTAATTAGCTATCTAGCATGTAGCGGAAGTGTAGTTTAGTCGGATGGAGGCATCCATAGCTGTATGGATCTGTGCAAAACTGCTACAGTAAGTATCTTTTTTTTATTTGAAAGATTCTTTCTCGCTGATGAAAGATAAGGCCATACGTTTCGAAAGCCATATCGCAAGCGATGATCATTGACGTTTGTAAACGTTAAAACACAGTGTCAGGATTGTAGTTCACATGAGGTTGTCGTGGGCGAAGCTAATGGCTGACAACTGTAGGGATAAGGCAGAATGCCACCTAGAAATTGAAAGCTGAGGTTAGGGCTTCCACACGGCCATATTTCCATGTTACAGCACTTGTTTACGGAAAACAGATGGAAGACAGAGGTGTACCTCTGCCAATTAACCATCTGCGTCTCTGAACACGTGTGTAAACAGAAGGACGCCACTACTTCTGTTCACAGGAGGTTTCCAGGTGTTTGATGCCATTCCATTTGCTCCGTTCCGGCCATTATTATGAGCCGTTCTCCCCTCAGCAGCCTCCACTGCTTCTGTTGTACACCTTTTCTATGCATATACTGTCCATAATGTCTATACACACCATCATATACATATCAGGGGAGGACGGCTCATAATAATGGCTGGAACGGCACAAATGGAATGGTATCAAACCATGTGTTTGACGTATTTGATACCATTCCACCTATTCCGCTCCACCCATTACCACGAGCCCGTCCTTCCCAATTAAGGTTCCACCAACCTGCTGTGATACATATATATTTATATTCCGGACTCTGACATTGCTCGTTGTAATATTTCTATATCTCTTAATTCCTTTTTATTTTTGGGAATTGCGTGTATTGTTAGGTATTACTGCACTGTTGGAGCTAGGAACATAAGCATTTCGCTACACCCGCAATAACATAGCAAAATATGTGTATGTGACCAATAAAATTTGATTGATTTGACAAACGTGTTGTCGCTGAACAATACTGTTGGCTGCAACTGTGTTAAAACCAGTTAAATACGTGTATATTTTGCATTCGTTAAATTATTTTGATGTGATTTGAAAGTAGAGGGCTTTATGTTTCTGGAATCGTACCGCAATTGAGAATTGATTCACGTTTAGATGGAGTATTGGGCTGCTTTGGCTGCCAGAGCCAATTTGCCTCTAAACAGAACATTGGACTATAAGGCTCATTTAGTCCATTATTGGGCTAGTGTTTCACTAGATTATTATTAAACCAGTGGAGGAGGCTGCTGAGGGGATAATGGCCGGAACGGAGCAAATGGAATGGCATCAAACACCTAGAAACAATGTGTTTGATGTATTTGATACCATTGCACAGATTCCACTCCAGTCATTACCCAGAGCCTGTTCTCCCCAATTAAGGTGCCACCAACCTCCTGTGTATTACACACTCACTATTGTCAGTCGAACTGACATTGGCAATACACCATCAAGCACTGGATAGGGGTCCAAAGACATGTTCAACCACCTACAACAACAATGAGCAGTCAGTCATAAGTAAATTAGATTGCGTCATTGAATGACGTTTAGGCTGAATTCAGAATTTACATAATCTAATGCAGCATTTCCCTGCAAATAGGACAACACAGATAGGCTACTAAGTGATATGGACACAGGACCGCAGCTCCAGTCAGGTTGTGGTGTGGAGAGCAATTATATACATTCTATACGTTAATAGGTCATTGATTGCCCTTTACCAGACAGAATAGAGCTACATAGCTAATAGAACCATGAATGAAAGGGTATCACCTGTTGAAGAAAGCAGTGGCCAGTCCCACGATTAATGTTCCAAATAAAATTGGTTTTGTAAGGCGCTTTACTGCAGACAGTTGATGTTGCTTCATGGTAGACAACAACCACGACCAGACTTGTCCGAAATGTTGCAAAATTAGTAACTGCTGTCTATCAAAATATTCTTATTCCACTAGTATCTTGCAAAAACATGGGCAACAACTGTACCGTGACCTCCCCAAGATTGCAAAAGCTGCACGTACAACGACTTCCGCCGGACCTGCCCCCTTCATTACGAAACACATTGTTGATTAAATCAATTTTATCTTATGATAGTTTAAATAAACTATTTAAATAGTTTAAATAATCTGTTTAAATTATAAAGTATACACGTGGAAATAGTTGTCACGTATTCACCAATAAAGTATAACAGCAGGAATATCCTCCTCCTCGAAAGCCATTTAGGTGGAACAATTACATTAAGGACCGTGTCCTGGTGGGGAAACAATTCGAGGACGGACCTATGAGTCCCAAACATCCGGCAACAACACCGGAATTAAAATGGAAAGATTATTACTTTTTTTTTATTATTATTATCTTGAGTGAACGTTCTTCATTGTAAATACATCAGTCGATCGTTTATTCATAGTAACTGTGACGAAGTGAACACATGATGTCGGGAAAAGGACGTTCTGCGACGGGATCTGATCGGTTTGAATACCTGCAGACACTTGTCACGGAGTTTCAGGACACTGACAGTGATGGTACGCTAGCTAATGCAGCAGAGTAGGCTATATCATGGTTAATATAATGTGTAGACATTGGTGTAGCAAATGTTTTAGAAGGCACAAGCCCTGGTAATGATTTGGTGGATGATATACCTCCTGTTTGATGTTTGGTAATATTCTAGCTAAATCTTACTACACCATATATAACTAACTGTGCTTCATTTGACCATGTGGTTGGCATTAGCTAACATTACTATCGAATTGGTCACTTCTTCTAGAGGCGAAAGAGCAAGTGTTGGCCAACTTGGCCAACTTTGCCTACGATCCGAGGAACCTGGAGGACCTGAGAACCCTTCAGGTTATTGAACTCTTCTTGGACATGCTCACAGAGGAAAATGAGAACTTTGTGGAGTTTGGGATAGGTGAGTATGGCACAAGTGACACTAGTTGTGAAATACATAAGATCATGTTTAAATGATACATACAGTATATCAACATTCCTTAATCCAGATGTTCAAAAGGAGAATCTCTCCATAACAGAGTGCTTCTGTTCATTCCCAGGCGGTCTATGTAACCTGAGTATGGATCGGGAATGCCGTGACCAGATCCTGCAGAGCGAAGCTCTCCCCCTGGTTACGGGATGCCTGTCCAGCCGGCGAGAGGAGACGGTGCTGTCTGCCATCACCACGCTTATGAATCTCACCACTGCTGCATCACGCTCCCAAACCACCGACACCGCAGTGCTACAGTGCATGCTGCGCTTCTCCATCTCCCAGAGCCCACGCCTGCGTAACCTGGCCTCTGTGTTCCTCCAGGACTGCTGCACTGAGGAGCAGGTGGCCAGGGCAGAGGCACAGATGCAGGGACACCATCCTACAGCACTGGGGATCCCCCTGCCTAAGGACTAGGCTAGTCTGGAGACATGATCGCTAGATCTGATGTCTGATCTCTGAGAAATACACTGAGTGTACAAAACATGAAGAATACCTGCTCTTTCCATGGCATAGACTGACCAGGTGAATCCAGGTGAAAGCTATGATCCCTTATTGATGTCACTTGTTAAGTCCACTTCAAATCAGTGTAGATGAATGGGAGGAGACGGGTTAAAGAAGGATTTTTAACCCTTGAGACATGGATTGTGTGCCATTGAGGCTGAATGGGCAAGGCAAAATATTTAAGTGCCTTTGAACGGGGTATGGTAGTAGGTGCCAGGGTGCACTGGTTTGTGTCAAGAACTGCAACACTGCTGTATTTTTCACGCTCAACTGTTTCCTGTGTGTATCAAGAATGGTCCACCACCCAAAGGATATCCAGCCAACTTGACACAACTGTGGGAAGCATTGGAGTCAACATAGGCCAGCATCCCTGTGGAACGCTTTCAACACCTTGTAGAGTCCATGCCCCGACGAATTGAGGCTGTTCTGAGGGCAAACGGGGGGTGCAACTCAATATTAGGAAGGTGTTCTTAATGTTTTGTACAATGTGTAGGAGTGCAAAATGACTCATGATGGAGGACTTTGAAACAAACATACTTTCCAACTTAAAATTGCTTTACACTTCAGTGCCACATGATGGAGACAGTACCACTGCTTTGCTTAGCCATGTTGAAAGCTGTGATGTTAACTGGCTCGGTTGCTCTCAGCTATTTACAATATGGACTTTAGACTCAGTTGACTCGGTCAACTCACTTCATACCAGTTAGTCATTGCCAATTTTAGAGATGACATAAGCTTTTATGTCCCTTTGATTGAAGTTACTCAGCACATTCAAAGGGATCGGCCGGAGCAAGGCGCTGCAAAGAATCACTGATCTAACACTTTTGACTGACCAGGCCAATGCCACGTTATTCTCCACCACAGCTGGGATGTGGCCCACCAGATCAAACTAGATTTCATCCATGTGATGCTGCAGCATCTGTGATAGAGACAACCCCCACATTCCAGAGGATCAATAGCAAGGCTAATCTTGAGTAGCTGTTGGAATACATTGGGATTTGGAGATCAGTGATTCTGTGCAGTGCCTTGCTCAGACCGATCCCACCAAAGCTGGTCAATATTGAGCCAAATCTCCAGCAGTCATGTCTGTGACCCATTACTATGCTGGCCAGTGACATCTTGACATATGGTCCCAATAAAAAGTCTCTGCATTCAGTAAACTCAATATTTTTCATCAAACCCAATGCATTGCTTAGACACCCATATGTATTTTCCATTTGATATTCAAGTATTTGACTAGCAGGCCTCAAAAGGCACGAGTAGGCTGCACCTTTGATCTTCTTGGCCATCTGATCTATTCCAGGGCAGGGTCTGGGTCACTCATCCAGAAATACTGCAGACCTGGCTCAGACAAGCATTAGGTGCAGAGGATAGGTATCCTGGAAAAACAAACCTGAGTGGAAATCCTATCCAGCTGTGTGTCTGCATGCTTCCATAGGCGTGTTTGAGAGGCTTTCCAAAGGCTTAACAGCCGTCCACCTGCCACTGAGATCAATAGAAAAGCTAAAAGCTTCTGTCCTCCAACAAAAACAGACACACCTATGCCCGACTTTTAATGTACAAGTTTATTTTTTCTTTACATAAAGGCAGCTGTAATATAAGGGCTCTATTCAATCCGCATCGCCGAAGTACAGCTTTACAGCTTGATTGAAACGTAAAGGCAATGTTCCCGCTTTACCGGTAAATCCTGCATATGTCGGCTCAATTGGAAATTACCTTTACATTTATAATCGCGGAATCTGTAACGCTTCAGTTTTACAGATTGAATAGAGCCCCAAGTCACAGATTGATGAGGTGGTTTCAAGGCTGTCACAATTACATGATCAGGTTTGGTCCTAAAAATACAGCAAAATCATTTGGCTGTCAATGTTTAGCAGACTGCTGTATATGGCACATTGCTGTACATGGCTTCACTTTCCTGTTATCCTGTGCCTGCTAAAACATAGCATTGGTCCAATGGGTTCTGCAAAAATGTTTGCATTAAAAGGCACAATTGACGACACTTACGGCTGGATTCAATCTGTATCGCCAAAGTATCGCGGAAGATCCGCGTCAAAATGTAAAGGTAATTTCTGATTGAGCCGTCATGCAGCGTTTACTGTGAATGCAGTTGCCGCAACTGCGGGAACATTGCCTTTAATTGTCAATCGCGCTACGGATTTAATAGAGCCCTTAGGCAGCCCAATTCTGATATTTTTTCCAAGAATTGTTTTTTTGACCAATCCAATCAGATCTTTTCACATTAGCTCTTACATTTTTTATTTGTGGATAAAAGATCAGAATTGGGCTGCCTGTATAAATTCAGCCATTATTGCTTTGATTTCAGCAGGTGCTTTGGCAGAGTGGAGTGAAAACGTATGCCATGCATCGGAGATATGAGCCACCATGTCTAGCCCGACTTTCTCTCATTCCTTCAATGACCTTCACAGAGCCAGAAACTTCTCTGTCTGCTCACGCAGTTTGTTCTTCTGGATCTGAAAGAGGAATAAAAAAAGAAAGGAGAGAATAAGTCTTTGTATTAAATACAGTGTTTTATGTCAGGGTGGTTTCTCAGATCGACCAGGCAGCCGTGGTGGTTCGTGACTCCTCCAACATGACGCCCTCTGAATGCGTTTAGCAGGACTGCTGCGTGCAGACTGCTTAATAGCTCACTTTCTTTCTGTCTAGAGACGGGGGATTGGGCTACTCACATTTCTCTCCATTTCTAAATGGTTTTGAAGAGGACCACAAGGAACATACAGTTTATGCAATGGACTGTTCATCAAAACTAATTTGTCTCTGACAAGTACTTAGGCTTCCTGATTATGTCTTCAGAATTGTATAAACAAATACACAACAAATGTTGGTCAATGTTCATGTAGTAGAAACATACATTAAGGGGCATGTTAGCTTAGCTTTGAGTAAGAGTATATGGTTTGAGAGATTACCTTTCCTGAAACTGTGAGCGGGTAGCCCTTCACAAATGTTACATAGCGTGGGATCTTGAAATGAGCAATCTGAGAGGGGAAAGAAGAGAAACAGAATAACAGTACATTTTAGGAATTTAGGCTAGCCACAGCAGGAAGTTGCAGAACCTTTTTATTTCAATCTCTCACCTTTCCCTTGCAGTAAGCTTTGATGTCCTCTGCACTGCAATCCATTGCCTCCTTCAGATTGAGGCAGGCACACACCTCCTCTCCCATACGCTCATCCTTTACTCCTATCACCTGATAGAGAGCGGGAAAGAAACATTAACATTAGCAGTCCTTGCTCTACAGCTCCTGACAAAAGGACATTTCCCTATAAAACGATCTTTCTGCTTCTGTTCAAGCATATACAAACAAACTGATTGAGAATTCACCTGTGCTTCCTGGACTTTAGGGTGGGTGTGTAGGAACTGCTCAATCTCAGCTGGGTATATGTTCTCCCCTCCTCGGATGATCATGTCCTTTATTCGGCCCTCGATGCGGCAGTAGCCATACTTGTCCAGGCTGGCGATGTCACTGCATATGGGTATAAGGATACATGTATGACACATAAGTAAAAGTTGAGACATCAGTGTTTGGGAGGTGTATGGGACCAGACCTGTCCACTCACCCAGTCTTATACCAGCGGTCTTTGGTAATGCACTTGTCTGTCTTGGCGACATCCCCCCAGTACTCCAGCATTACACAGTAGCCCCTGATCATCAGCTCTCCTGATATCCCAAGAGGCATGAGCTCTCCAGAGTCAGGATCAACTACCTTAGCCTGAGGGACAGCAGTGGTAAGGATAATAGGGTGAGACTCTACTGCAGTCAGTTACCATATGATAATAAAATCATGCTCCCAGCAATTCTGCCTATGTGGATAAGACATGTAATGTATATGCTTTAGATATGCTTAAAGGGATACTTCAGGATTTTGGGAATGAAAAGTCAAATCAACTTGTGGATACCAGTTTTATGTCTCTCCGTCCAGTATGAAGGAAGTTGGAGGTAGTTTTGCGAGCCAACGCTAACCAGTGTTAGCCCAATGACTGGAAGTCTATAGTAACAGCTAAGACTGGAAGTCTATGGTAACAGATATACTTCCAGTCATTGCGCTAACGTTAGTAGATACAGGGCTTCATTGCCAAAATCCCAAAGTATCCCTTTAACAGACATAAATATACTTATTGTATAATAGAAGTAAAGATATTAAAACATATGCACATAAATGACTCAGGTGGATGAGACATACCTCTAAGTGATTGGTAATGCACCCAACAGTCTCTGACTTCCTCTCCAAATTGTCTGTTGGGAAGCCACAGAATGACACAGGGCTGTTCTCTGTGGTTCCATAGGCAATCTGTCAATCCAAAGTGAAACCACACACTCTGAGTTCAATTAAACATACAGTATCACCACAGCGGCATTCATGACGTTGTGTAACATTTACATTAACGTCATTTAGCAGACGCTCTTATCCAGAGCGACTTACAAATTGGTGCATTCACCCTATAGCCAGTGGGATAACCACTTTACAATTTTATTTTATTTTTTTTATGGGGGGGGGGGGGGGGGGGGGGGGGGGTAGAAGGATTACTTTATCCTATCCCAGGTATTCCTTAAAGAGGTGGGGTTTCAAATGTCTCCGGAAGGTGGTGAGTGACTCCGCTGTCCTGGCGTCGTGAGGGAGCTTGTTCCACCATTGGGGTGCCAGAGCAGCGAACAGTTTTGACTGGGCTGAGCGGGAACTATGCTTCCGCAGAGGAAGGGGAGCCAGCAGGCCAGAGGTGGATGAACGCAATGCCCTCGTTTGGGTGTAGGGACTGATCAGAGCCTGAAGGTACGGAGGTGCCGTTCCCCTCACAGCTCCATAGGCAAGCACCATGGACTTGTAACAGATGCGAGCTTCAACTGGAAGCCAGTGGAGTGTGCGGAGGAGCGGGGTGACGTGAGAGAACTTGGGAAGGTTGAACACCAGACGGGCTGCGGCATTCTGGATGAGTTGTAGGGGTTTAATGGCACAGGCAGGGAGCCCAGCCAACAGCGAGTTGCAGTAATCCAGACGGGAGATGACAAGTGCCTGGATTAGGACCTGTGCCGCTTCCTGTGTAAGGCAGGGTCGTACTCTCCGAATGTTGTAGAGCATGAACCTGCAGGATCGGGTCACCGCCTTGATGTTAGCGGAGAACGACAGGGTGTTGTCCAGGGTCACGCCAAGGCTCTTCGCACTCTGGGAGGAGGACACAACGGAGTTGTCAACCGTGATGGCGAGATCATGGAACGGGCAGTCCTTCCCCGGGAGGAAGAGCAGCTCCGTCTTGCCAAGGTTCAGCTTGAGGTGGTGATCCGTCATCCATACTGATATGTCTGCCAGACATGCAGAGATGCGATTCGCCACCTGGTTATCAGAAGGGAGCTGTTTGGATCCTGTATGCTGATTGGTTGATATGCGGGAGTTGTGGGACTCATGGCAAAATACCATGACGTGTTAATGTCATAATTCCACTGTCCCGCAGCCCAGGCAGGAAATTCATAAACTTAATCTCCCTCTGTAATAAAGCATCTACACATTATCTTTCAATACTACTATTTGGTTTAAAAGTTGGGGGTTGTATAAATCTACCTGTCTGCCTTATGACCTGTGCAACAATGTGTCATTTTACAAATGCGATCTCTCCAGTACCGGTAGCCTAGCTAGCCCAAAAATTAATGTGAAACCAATAATTCTCCATGGAAACCGTAAACACTCAGAATTCCGTTCATTCATTAACCAGCGCAGTGCAGCCTATGTAGGCCTATTGGGTATTTATTAAATCATTATTTATTGACGTTCTTGTCTCTCATCATCATTGAGTCTCTGCTAGCTAGCTAAAGGCCAATGATTTTTTATTTCCATGGCAACGTCGCATGAATACAATTATTAGAATTAACGACTAGGTCAAAACATCAGAAAATAACTAACGACCAGACCGTATGGGCAGCAACCTCCGCATGTAAAAACAAATGTACTTGTTACCACGGGGGGCCAGTATAATTTTTTTTTTTTTATGTATGCACTCACTAACTGTAAGTCGCTCTGGATAAGAGCGTCTGCTAAATGACGTAAATGTAAATGTAATTAGTTGTGTATCGTCAGCGTAGCAATGATAGGAGAGGCCATGTGAGGATACGACAGAGCCAAGTGACTTGGTGTATAGCGAGAATAGGAGAGGGCCTAGAACTGAGCCCTGGGGGACACCAGTGGTGAGAGCACGTGGTGCGGAGACAGATTCTCGCCACGCCACTTGGTAGGAGCGACCGGTCAGGTAGGACGCAATCCAAGAGTGAGCCGCGCCGGAGATGCCCAGCTCGGAGAGGGTGGAAAGGAGGATCTGATGGTTCACAGTATCAAAGGCAGCAGACAGGTCTAGAAGAACAAGAGCAGAGGAGAGAGAGTTAGCTTTAGCAGTGCGGAGAGCCTCCGTGACACAGAGAAGAGCAGTCTCAGTTGAATGACCAGTCCTGAAACCTGACTGGTTTGGATCAAGAAGGTCATTCTGAGAGAGATAGCAAGAGAGTTGGCTAAAGACGGCACGCTCAATAGTTTTGGAAAGAAAAGAAAGAAGGGATACTGGTCTGTAGTTGTTGACATCAGAGGGATCAAGTGTTGGTTTTTTGAGAAGGGGTGCAACTCTCGCTCTCTTGAAGATGGAAGGGACATAGCCAGCGGTCAAGGATGAGTTGATCAGCGAGGTGAGGTAGGGGAGAAGGTCACAGGAGATGGTCTGGAGAAGAGAGGAGGGGATGGGGTCAAGCGGGCAGGTTGTTGGGCGGCCTGTAGTCACAAGTCGCAAGATTTTATCTGGAGAGAGAGGGGAGAAAGAAGTCAAAGCATAGGGTAGGGCAGTGTGAGCAGGACCAGCAGTGTCATTAGACTTAACAAACGAGGATCGGATGTCGTCAACCTTCTTTTCAAAGTGGTTGACGAAGTCATCCACAGAGAGGGAGGAGGGGGGGGGGGATTCAGCAGGGAGGAGAATGTGGCAAAGAGCTTCCTAGGGTTAGAGGCAGATGCTTGGAATTTAGAGTGGTAGAAAGTGGCCTTAGCAGCAGAAACAGATGAAGAAAATGTAGAGAGGAGGGAGTGAAAAGATGCCAGGTCCGCAGGGAGTCTAGTTTTCTTCCATTTCCGCTCAGCTGCCCGGAGCTCTGTTCTGTGAGCTCGCAATGAGTCATCAAGCCACGGAGCTGGAGGGGAGGACCGAGCCGGCCGGGAGGATAGGGGACACAGAGAGTCAAAGGATGCAGAAAGGGAGGAGAGGAGGGTTGAGGAGGCAGAATCAGGATATTGGAGGGAGAAGGATTGAGCAGAGGGAAGAGATGATGGGATGGAAGAGGAGAGAGTAGTGGGAGAGAGAGAGCGAAGGTTGCGGCGGCGCATTACCATCTGTGTAGGGGCAGAGTGAGTAGTGTTGGAGGAGAGCGAGAGAGAAAAGGATACAAAGTAGTGGTCGGAGACCAGGAGTTGCAGTGGGGAGTTGCAGTGAGATTAGTAGAAGAGCAGCATCTAGTAAAGATGAGGTCAAGCGTATTGCCTGCCTTGTGAGTAGGGGGGGACGGTGAGAGGGTGAGGTCAAAAGAGGAGAGGAGTGGAAAGAAGGAGGCAGAGAGAAATGAGTCAAATGTAGACGTAGGGAGGTTGAAATCCCCCAAAACTGTGAGGGGTGAGCCATCCTCAGTGTCCTTTGCAGAGGTAGTCGGAGAAGGTGACTGAGGGGGCATGGAAAAGTATGTCCGTCTGTCTACCAGGGCCCACTGTCTGGTGGAGAGTTCCCTGTCAGCGCTGGACCTCAGCGTGACTTCACAGTTCAAAGGCTAGGACCAGCTGAGTCAGAGAGGGGCAGGGGCAGGGGGTGAGTCAGCAGGCAGGCCAGGGCATGGGAGCTCAGTGAGGTATGTGGTGCCCCTCTGACAACTGGCACACCTGTACAGTAGGACGGTGCCTGCCCCCTTGCCCCTCTGTAAACCTCGCCCATACATCTGTCCTGCTGTGGCCTTTCTCTGAGGTCACTGTTTACATCAATATAGTTTGGCCAGTGAGTCCTCTTGATAACCTTTTCTTGATTACTGCTTTTAAATTGACACAAATTTCAACTGGGTCAGTGGCAGAAGTAAAATATAAATTGAATGAAGTGAAGGCTAAGACTTGGCAGCAGGACCAATGGAGAGTCAGCATTGGTTTCGGCCTTTGAAGCGCTCGTAGGACGATTCATCTGCTGCCACACAAGCACATCCTTCTGAGGGCGAAGTCCTGTAGTGATAGAGTGGCAGAGTAGGGTCATGACTGGTGAACAAAGAGGCATTGCAGGAGCCGTTTGGGGATTGGGACGGTGAGAATGTTCACCTGAGCAGCCAGGAGAAAGACGTTCCCGATAAAATGCTAGATTTGTTGAGTAAACTCGAGATTCCACTTATCGTGAGAGTGTCCATCGGACTCATAAACACACCCTTCTGAGTCCAAGGCGTCATAGGAGCTGAGCCAGCAAGCCCAAGGGCTGAAGTGGACAACCTCTCTCTCCCTCCATCCATCCCTTCCGGTCTCTTTCCCTCACTCTCCTGGTCAATTTCAAGTGGCCAATGGATCGGCGCTTGAGACCAAGGTTTTGGTCTCACATCTGGTTGGTTAAGGCCCACTCAGAGCCACACACACCCGAGTGAAAGCTCATGAAAAATTAAGTGATTTCTAACCTCCACTCTATCTGCTGAAACTCAATCCAGCCACACCCAACCTCGCCTCTATTTGGAAAGTGAGATTGACCACAAAGACCATTATGTAACACCTTACTCCTTTTCAAAATAGTAGAAAATATGCATGCAGGAATGAAACTAGGCATTTGAAACCCTCTTTTTGTGGGGGGAAGAGGGCCCATTTCCAATTGTGTGACTTGAAAAGGAGTCCCGCCACTCGCCAACCATCTGGAGATGATTATGGGTTATAAAATAGCCTCACAGGCGCTCTTTTTCCTCTGACTGCAGACTGAAAAACAATAGAGATGTCTGGAACCCTAAAGACTGCCAAGTTAACCTCTTACCTACCACTCAGGCAACTATTTTAGAAATGACTGACAATGACCACGGCCAGTGGAGGGCCTCATCTACCCAACAAAAATCCAGGTAACCTGTACAGGTATACAGACCATTGCTATATTGGCAGTCAAAAGTGCCAGTGCCTGATCCACCAAGACACTGTATTTGATTTGGAAGCAAATTTTGCCCTTCTTGATAATAATAATAATATGCCATTTAGCAGACGCTTTTATCCAAAGCGACTTACAGTCATGCGTGCATACATTTTTGTGTATGGGTGGTCCCGGGGATCGAACCCACTACCCTGGCGTTACAAGCGCCGTGCTCTACCAGCTGAGCTACAGAGGACCAGAGTGTAATGTTTACACAATTTGTCTGCTTATATGACTAAAATGACCTAGAGATCCTTTGCCTGCTAAACATAACAAACAACTGAAAATTATGCACAAACAAAAACTGTTTGATTAAAATGTCTCATGCAGAAGATCTGGAAGCTTTTTAGAAAGGTTAACCAGAAGTTAGTAGAATTTACTTGAGCTCCCTATGGTCAGTGGAAGATCCCGAACTGTCCTCCTGTGTGTGCAGAGTTAAACTCTCAGAGACACTTGGCTTCCTCTTGCAGCCCCTCCGTCTCCACGTAACACCCTGGTGAGCCCTCCACATTTTTTTCCTCAAATAAATGTTATAAATAGTGCTGTGTTCTGTTGACTGCCGTGCCGTCCTCCTCTCAAAGCCCCAAGTGAATATTTTTTGCACTGCTCTCCTTTTCTCAGTCACACTCTCTCACTCACACCAGCTCACCTCTTGCCTTCCCTCTCTGAATCCTTCTGCTCTCTCTTTCTCTCGCCGTGAGACTTTCTGGAGGACTTTTTCTAGCTTGGAGTGCCTGTCAAGCAGTGAAAAGAAGCTCTCAGGGAGAGACGGAAAACAGATAAGGTGGACAGACTGACAGACACAAGTCTAGAGTAGCAGCGTCAGCATGCGGTGTGTGAGCTTCCTCTCGGTGTGGACCTACCTGCTGGTCCTCGGCCCGGTGGTATGGGGCGCCCCCAGCCAGTGCCCGGCCCAGTGTCACTGCCACGGGGACCTGCAGCATGTAATCTGTGACAACGTGGGGCTAAAGAATATCCCGCAGGTGTCCGAGGCCACCCGTCTGCTCAACCTGCAGAGGAACAACCTGGGCAGCCTGCCCACCGGCTCCTTCGCCAGCAGCAAGGGTCTCATCTCGTTGCACATGCAGCACTGCCAGCTCCGCGAGATCGGCGGCCAGGCCTTCAAGGGTCTCAAGAAGCTCATCTACCTCTACCTGTCCAACAACGAGATCACCAGCATCAAGCCGGGCGCCTTCGAGGACCTCACCGAGCTCACCTACCTCTACCTGGACGGCAACCGCATCAGCGACCTACCCAAGGGCATCTTCTCGCCCATGATCAACCTGTTCATCCTGCAGCTCAACGATAACAAGCTGCGCGACATCAAGCCAGGCACCTTCGCCGGAGCCAAGGACCTGCGCTGGCTGCACATGAGTGGCAATGAGATGAGCTCGCTGCAGCCAGGCTCTCTGGACGACGTGGAGAACCTGGCCATCCTGCACCTGGACAGGAACAGGCTGTCCACCTACCCCGGCCTGGCCATGAGCAAGCTGAGAGTGGTGGAGGAACTGAACCTGGCCAAGAACCCCCTGAGAAGCATCCCTGACAACGCCTTCCAGAGCTTTGGACGCTACATGGAGAAGCTGTACCTGGACGGCATGGGGCTGGAGAAGGTTAGTCTCTCAGATTGTTTGTGGGGTGGGTGGGGGTCACTTTTGTGGGTGCAAAGAGCTTATTGAGTTGGGGAGAATTAAGAGGTGATTGAAAGTTTAAGAGAAGGGCAATGCAATAACATGGCATAGATGTGGTAAATAAGTATACTATGACGAAAGTAGATTTAAAAAATCTTTCAAGCCTTAGAATATTGAACATTTACAACAGTTTCATTTCATGCAACCTGTATCTCAATTATTTGAGGCACAGTTATCAATTAAGTAGACATAGAAAGCTTCAGTAATTATTTTGTATTCTTGTCTTATAACCTCTAGCAACCCTGCGCATTAGGGAGGCTTGTTGTTTGTTTGTTTTGGTTCTTCCATATTTCATCTGCTTATTTTTATGTACAGTCTGGCTTGCCACCGGCCAACTCCCCCTTTTCCAGTAGCCAAAAGTAATTTATCTTCTCCCAGTTCTGTGGTTGCATACTGTATCCCGAGGGCAGGTGATAATGTGAGGTGGTTTAGTAGATCTCTACCATTCATCATATGATGACTGACCATTCAAAGTTATGAGAACGTGGAGTACTCAAATCAAATTATTGGTCGCATACACATATTTAGCAGATGTTATTGCGGGTGTAGCGAAATGCTTGTGTTCCTAGCTCGAACAGTGCAGTAATATTCAACAATAATCACACATCTAAAAGTAAAAGATTGGAATTAAGAAATATAGAAATATTAGGACGAGCATTGTCAGAGTCCGGAGTATATATATTTTTATAATAATAATAATTACACACACAAAAAAATAAAATATATATATATACACACACACACACTTACTACCAGTCAAAAGTTTGGACACACCTACTCATTCAAGGTTTTACTATTTTTTACATTGTAGAATAATAGTGAAGACATCAAAACTATGAAATAACACATATGGAATCATGTCGTAACCAAATAAGTGTTAAACAAATCAAAATATATTTTATATTTGAGATTCTTCAAATAGCCACCCTTTGCCTTGATGACAGCTTTGCACACTCTTGGCAATCTTTATGCTTTAGTTGTCGTGATTTCTCCGCAACGCTCCAACTGTAAACTAATAAGATCCTTATGATGACTTATCCACCCATATGGGTAGAAAATAGGTCACACGTGCTTTGGGTCAGGATGCACATGTGCCGAGACCAGCGGGATCTCAGTCTCGGGCTGTTTGTCAGCAAAACAGTTGACTGTGCTTTTAGCCGTTGTTCTTTAACCCTGATTGCTCTGCTCGCCGTACGGTGTGGTACAAAGAGAGCACCTGTCAAAGTCAGTATATCTCTGCACCTGAAAGAGTGTAGGTCAGGAGGATTGCACAGTGGGAGAGAGGATTGGTGTTCTAGTCTTGTGTTGCTCCATTCCCATATATAGTTGGTTGGTGGACTGTTGGCGCTGAAGATTGGATTCATGTCCAATTTAGCTTGGTGAGAACAAGAAGTAGAGTTGGGGGAGGGATGAGGTCCCTGCTCTTTACATTAAGGAGATACATGGGAATGATATGGGCGACACATACATGCCTTCCTAATTGGGAATTCCAAACAATATCAGGTGGCCAAGTGACATCACCTAGTAAGCATCATAACAAACCGCTGATATAAACCACACTCTTCAGCACGCACTGTAAACCCAGACACAACATCATACAGGGGTTCCTCAAGGATAGCCCAAGATATCCTTGACCATACAGTGAGTGGGCGGCGTTGACGCAGTGCTTGATCATTCCTGAGGTTCAGGTTGGTGTGTGAGGTGGGTGACCGTCTCATTACACTTAATGGTACAGTCCGAAGAGGCTTTTAAGATCTGACTAGCTTCCATCCTTTGGTGGGAAAGGAGTTTGAACTATCATACAGACACCCCAAGGTTATAGAGATCATGGAACAACAGCAGGCACAGTCCAGACAGCACTGGAAATTGTTTCCTATCTAGAAATAACACAGTCGATCCTACACCTTGTAACCCATAGCATAACAATGTAAGATGTAACAAGGTTGAATGATCGCCATCTCACTCGGCTGACCAACCTCAATCAAGGCCTGAGTGGAGAGATGGGAAAGGCTGGCCTCGAGACACTTATCACAGATAAGAGACCCAGATGAGTGCTTGTTGCCTGAGTCCCAGTGAACACAGTGCCTGTTATAACTCCATATACTGATTGATGGGTTAGCTTGCTGCTCCCCATACATTCCAAACACAGTTTATTCAATACTAGAAGTGGTCCTCTGTAGCTCAGCTGGTAGAGCACGGCGCTTGTAACGCCAAGGTAGTGGGTTCGATCCCCGGGACCACACATATACAAAAAAATGAATGCACGCATGACTGTAAGTCGCTTTGGATAAAAGCGTCTGCTAAATGGCATATTATTAATCCAATATTTGAGTTTATCAATCCATGATACAGTATGGAGAGATCCCACAGGGTAAATGGTAAAATAACAAGCATCTCTCAGGCAGACTATACCAGTGAAAGTGAGGGGAAAGCAGTGGGAGATGGCAAGGTTTTGGGGTGGCACATGGTAGGGGAGAGTAAAAAGCTATTTTCCAGTCAAAAGTGGGTATTTTTAGGGTGTTTTTGTTTGCTAGCCCGTATCCAAGGATGTACTGTACCAGCCAAATTCTCAAATTTTCGGTGTGTTTTTTCCCCTCGGCAGGAGGGTCCTGCCAACAGGTCAGTAAGGGTTAGGAGACCGGTAAAAAGAGGCAGGATGTTCAATAGCCCATGAAGGACGGGTATTTTTAGCTTGCCCATTGCCCCTTAGGTGAATGGACAATTGGGCTCTTTGCAAGCCTTCCTGGCAGAGAAGTGGCTCAGAGAGAGAGAGAGAGATGAAAAAAAAGAGAGCAAAAACAACCTGGCCACGCTGGAAGTCATCCATTTTCCATTGCCGCAAATTACCAGAAGCCTCCACCTTGGCACTTGCGCCCTTCCGCAGTGGAAATTTCCAAAAGACACCTCAATCAACAGCCTCATCTCTTATAGACTTACATAACACATGTTGCAAAAGCCCACCCTCCTCTCACGGCTGCCCCGGACCTCCTTCCCTCCCTCTCTCCTCCTGTTAAAAGGCTAAGAGCCAACCCACTGGACAAACTGGTTGAATCAACGTTCTTTCAATGTAATTTGTCAACGTGGAATCTACGTGAAAATACATTGTATTTGGAAAAAGTTGTCACTGACAAAACTGTTGTTTTGAGGGTGAAATTTCAATGATTATGTCATCATGTTAACCAAATTTCAACATAGACAAACCTTGTATAATTTATTTTGAATTTGTACCTTTAAAACAATGTCAGATCTTATATCCACTATCAGGCTTGGCAGCTCCTCCTACTGGAGAATTGATCTATCTACATCTACCCGTTTTTTTTTCTCCCCAATTTCGATCTTGTCTCATCGCTGCAACTCCCCAATGGGCTCGGGAGGCGAAGGTCGAGTCATGCGTCCTCTGAAACATGACCCGCCAAACCGCACTTCTTAACACCCGCCCGCTTAACCCGGAAGTCAGCCGCACCAATGTGTCGGAGGAAACGCTGTTCAACTGACGACTGAGGTCAGCCTGCAGGCGCACGGCCCACCCACAAGGAGTCGCTAGAACGCGATGAGCCAAGTAAAACCCCCCCCCGGCTATAAAGCATTTACAAAGTCATCAACAGCTATTGTTTCAATTCAATCCAGAATTCAACTAAACATAAACAATACAATAAGCCTAAGGTTTCAAGAACTGATTGATTTAAAATGTATTGATATTTAGTGATATTGAATTGTGTTTGGTTGTCAATGCAACCAAGTATCAACATTTGAAGGAGATGTATCTTCTGCTTGAATAGTTCCTTCTGTGCCACTGACTTAGTCTGGCTTTAATTCCAGTTTGTCTACACATTATTAAATGATATTTGAATTTATGTCTCCATCGCAACCAAAAATCTAAGTTAAAGAATAGGACTAAATCAAATTAAACTTTAAATGCACTTCGACAAGTTAACAAATTATATGTTGACAACCAAACACAATTCCATATCACTTTTGAAATACAATAAATAGCCTATTAACTTGTCGACAAGTTAACAAATTATATGTTGGATTCACGTCTCCAACTCAACCAAAAATACAAGTTAAATAATAGGATTAAGCCCGTGGCTCAGATGGAACTATCCAATAAGTAGATGGGCCTATATCTCCTTTAAATGTTGATATTTGGTTGCGTTGTCAACCAAACACAATTCAATATTACTTTTGTAATACAGTAAATAGCCTAATGTTAAGGCTATCTTATAAACTCATGTAACATTCAACCTTAAAATTAGTAAACCTCAATGTGGCCACGGATGTGTACTGTAACTATACATTTCTTCTTATTTAATCATATAATGTGTGCATGTTCAAGATAGCATGCATAGGTCATCGCCGGTCTGTGGAGATCTTTACAATTGTTGTAATAATCAGTGCAGAATCTCAAACATCATTGATCACTTGCACCATGTACTTTTTATGTAATTTCAATTGCAATCCAGGTCATTTGGTTCTGCTGTTAGATGAAGCACAGTGATAAGATTAATTTGTTGTATAAATAAACAAAATATCTGACATTGTATTCCCATTTGAACTTTGCTGTGCTTTTAAATGGTTGAAAGCGTAGTGATAGACATTTGGGTGACAACTAAACCAAAAATCAGACATAGTTTTTCCATTGGAATTTGGTTAAGCTTTTAGATGGTTGAAAGTATAGTGACAACACATTGGAAATTCAACTAACTTTTGGCTATCTTATTTGAGTGTGTGAATATAAGTTGTAATCTCATTGATCAACATCTCAAACAAATATTACATTGAAATGACGTGGTGTGTCCAGTGGGAAACTTGACACGGTGAGCATCAGTTCATCTTGCACCTCTGTGAAGTTTTTAGCGGCCTCACAAATGCGTATGAAGTTTGGGAGAAGGGAGGGGTGAGACAGTCCAGTTTACATAAGCAACGGTGCAGGAACCAGTTATGAGTGGAGGCTTTCATGTCAGACAGAGTGACTACTGGAGAAAAAAAAAAAGAATCCCCTCTACCAAGCATCGCTGTCTGCCCTCTGACAGATATTAAGGATGAGGTTAACTGCAAATTCTACATCGATTTACATCACCAGGTGTGCCTTCACTGCCATGTGAGAAAGGAGAGATCTACCTTATGGTTGAGTTCAGGGATTTCAGAGTTCAGGGATTACAATCAGTCACAGGAAGCTTTTATACTTGCAATGAACTACTTTTGGATTTGAAGGACGAGACTTCTTGGTCATGACATTATGGTTTAAATCTCTCTTGTCAAAGTCTACCTCTTCTGATGAAACTGAAAAGCCTCCTATCCTGTGTCTTATATCTGTCTGCCTGTAGTTTTCTGACGGTGCGTTCAACGGCATGAGGGCCATCAAGTCTCTGCACCTGGAAAACAACAAGCTCAAGTCCCTCCCCAAGAGCCTGGAGTTCACCACCATCACCAACCTCACGCTCTCCAACAACCCCTGGAGCTGCACCTGCATGCTAGCCCCTCTGCGCAAGTAAGTAATGACCTCACCTTTACACACACATACAGTAGGAAATCTTATCTTGAACTGACACAATAGACAATAGAAAACCATACACAAACAGTTATCTGTTTGAAATACACACTAAACGGAAACCATTAATACATTTCAACATTCTAAAATCTTGATTAACAAACATATTATCCAAACCGTGAGAGAGAACTTCCAAGACCCTGTATGTCTGATTCTCTCTGTTTCCCTCCACTAGGTGGATGGACTCTAGCCGCCAGCGCCCTGATGCGCTCTGTGCCTCTCCATCCTCACAGAGAGGAAAGCAGATCAGGGATAGCTCCGCCTTCAGCGACTGCACAGTTAAGACAAAGAGAGCCAAGAAGGGCACACGCCATTAAAACAGGTAATCTGACTGACGATGACTCAACGAAATACAAAACTAGTCCGTAAATAGGCAAGTTGAACCTCAGTTAAGTGAAGTTATGTATTGAGCTTAGCAAGCTTATGAGTTTCTCACCATCAGACTTGAGATTTTGAAGTCATATGCATTTACCCAAGAACATCTTGACAAAGGGTTTTGATTGTGATACATATTTCAAATTTTTGTTGGTCCCCTTCTGGCTTCAATGCTTTCCTCACGGTTTGAATTCTTACGAAGGATTGCATTTATGTGTTTGGGGACTCGGCACAACATGACATTGGATTGAAACAATAGCACTTAAGGTCGGGGGATGGGATTGGACTGTCCTAGCTTGACATCTTTTCCTTTCCCTTCCCTCAGAACTCTTTGTCTTCTGTCCCCTGGCTGTTCTTTTCCATCTTGGCTTTGGGGTCCTGCCCAGAACAGAACAGCGTGTCCCGGTCATGGCGTTGACCAATAGGAGGGCAGACTGTTTGACTTGGCTGCTGATGTTTGTGTCTTTCCACAGGGGACGCTGCCTGAGGGGAAAGGCCTGTCCAGGTGACAGGCTCGGTACGTGTGCAGAGAAAGAAAGAAAGCAACGCTAACTGCTACTTAAAGACTGTCCATCTCACTATCTGCCAAATATCAATGTCACATGTACACACCTGGAGTGATACATGACACAAATACATCCCCCTTTCTTTTCAACGGCTGAAGAATTTGTCAAGCATCCCACAACCAACATTCAGACAAGCAGCCATGTTGACTCTCCTCCTCTCGCTCTCCCTAACGCCAGCTTTACACCCTCCTCTCTCAGGACCCCATCACTTGCTGCCAAAGAAATGGCCTGCATCATCCCCCAAGCCCCCCCCCCCTAATAACCTTCCAAATGGAATGTTCCAGGCCAGGTCTCCCTTTATTTAATGTGGGTCACTCGGTTGGTCATGTCTCGCTGTCTTGCTTCTCCTGTGAGAAATTCTGTCAGACTGAGAAAACATCCTGAAAGGACTGTGACCGTAAAACGGACATTGACGTAGTGTGACTTGACCTGACTCCTCTCAAAACTCTGATCAAAGGTAGTCCTGTGTAGCTCAGTTGATAGAGCATGGCGCTTGCAACGCCAGGGTTGTGTGTTCGATTCCCACGGGGGGCCAGTATGAAAAAATGTATGCACTCACTAACTGTAAGTCGCTCTGGATAAGAGCGTCTGCTAAATGACTAAAATGTAAATGTGAAATGTAAATGACACAACACAGCGCAGGCGGCTAAGGACTTTTTCTGAAAGGGTTAATGAGATAATGGAGCGAAAGTTGAGAAGGAACAGAGTCAGATGACACAGAGAAAGAGAGGAGTCTAGTTCTCCAGCGGTATCTTTCGTTTAATGACTGTCCTTTGTATGTATTCAATCTCCCGAGAGATACAAAGATACTTCATCCTTACATGAATGGAGTTTGGAAGCGTTTGCAGTGCCTTTAGGTCTGTTATCACAGGAGGAAATGTTGTACAGTTCAAAATGGATTAGAGAATAGGTAGCAGCGGTGTCATGTCTTTGAGCCTTTGACTAAATAATTAATATACTAATTATTTTGCCTTTTACACCCCCCCCGCTGTGGCAATGCTTAATTTCTTAGCGGACAAATACAGACACTGTGTGACATTTCGTTTAAAGTAATTGATTTACATTGAAAACAAGATACTTTTTACTGCTAAATCAATGGATTATCTATAGGCATTGAAGACTTCCCAAACTCTGGGAGCATGTAGGTACCCCCCTTTTCCTTTCATAACTTTTCAGATTTGACTCTTCAGTATATATTTTATGTATATTGAACATCATCTTTTTGGGGGACATCTAAGAAATAAATATGTAACCTTGTCTGTCTTGATTCCATTTTCAACTACTGTGCGCTAACATATTAACACATTAACAGAGAGACAATGTCATAGGAGCAGCCAACCTTACTCCTGGGGAGCTACAGTTTGGGGGTTTTGTCCCAGCCCAACACTAGCACACCTGATTCAGCTAATCAAAGTCTTGATGTGTAGCTTATTAGCAGAAGCATGTGAGTTAGTGCTGGGCTGAAACAAACACATGCACATCCTGTAACTCGCTAGGAGTAGAGTCGGCACACAACCCTGCAATAATGAATCTGGAAGGACGTTCTCGTATGAAAATGTCTCCCTCTAACGAATAAATATATTAACTGTACCCAGCAGTGAAGGTCCTGAAGGGCCACCCCACAGCTGGTTTTGAGCTTCCACCTCTAACCAGGGACTGACTCAGGCCTGAGAAACCAGGTGAGTGAACTCTCTGGACAATCAATGATATTCAGTAATCATTTAGCTAACTCTAATTAATCAATTAACTTTCTTAATTAAGAAAACATTACTCACTATGAGCTCCTTAATGCCCATGGTAGAAATGACCTTCTTCACTATTTCAGGTGGACACGGGGAACCAGCCATGATTCCTAAAAGGCATAAATAAACACGTAATCTAAGATATACAGTACATTTGCTATAATCAATATCAAGATTGCTCAATAACGATCCTCTAGGACCTCCGAGTATGCAGGATTTCATCCCAATCAATGGCCAACCTAAGTAATGTTCAATCTAGTTGATTTCGAGAATATGATTAGAACAGAAACAAATGACTTGAGTTAAAAACATGATCTCTCACCTCCCTCCACAGACGACAAGTCAAACTTGGCCAAGTCAGGCTGGCCCAGCATGTCGATGTACATAGTAGGAGTGCCATAGACAAAGGTACACCTGGTGGAGGGAGGGGGTGGAAAAGTGGATACACTTGATTGAGGCACAAAGCACACAACCTACACACCACAGTTTACTGTCCCAGAAAATTCCTCAATAACACTGAATGCATGTTTTCCACAAGGACTTAGCTATTTCTGCCATACCTTTCACTCTCCATAGCTGCCAGGTTGGCACGTCCGTCGTATCCAGTGGAGGGAGAGACCAGCGTGATGCCATGCGTGGCCATGACAATGCCACCACCCACCGAGCCAAAGCAGTGGTACATGGGCACAGGCAGGCACACGCGCACCTGAGACTGAGGGGACATGGGACATAGATTAAAGACTACCCCCGTTTAGACAGGCAGCCAAATTCTGATATTTTTTTCACTAATTGGTCTTCTGACCAATCAGATCAGCTCTGAAAAATATCTGGTGTGAAATATCTGATGTGATTGGTCAAAAGACCAATTAGTGGAGAAAAAAAATCTGAATTGGGCTGTCTGTCTAAACGCAGCCTAACTGGAATCTGGAATCATATGTGTCTGTGTGGACAGGGCACTCACCCTCCAGTCATATCCAAGTCGCATGCCAATGAAGTAGGCATTGTTGATGATGTTGTGGTGGGAGAGGGTGGCACCTTTGGGGTTCCCCGTCGTGCCCTGACATCAGACAAACAAGTATGTCAGAGAAATAGTGGGCACAAAGCAATGCATATACACAAATGCACTTGAATAGGTAAACTGCGGCATGCACAGGGGACATGCATCATGACTCAATACTGTTGAGTATTATTATTCAGATCATTGTCAACAGAGGATTTAACACTCATTCACAGTATAGATTTGTTGAACACCATGACAATGTAAAGACGGACTGTGAGTGCAGGATCAAATAGGAAGAATAGAGAGTGATATACAGTTTACTAAAAGTACCGATGTGAACTGAATATTGATGGGGTCGTCGAAGGACAGTTTCTTCTGCAGCTCCTCCAGCTGCTGCATTTGCTGGCTGCTCCCTGCCTGCATCACATCCTCAAGGTGGTACATCCCCGGCTGCCGGCTGTCTGTCACGATCACTGTGTGGAGGTCTGGGAGTCTGAGGAGGAGGTGTCACGCTCAGTGGGGTGCAACGTAACAAAACATTCAGATAGAAATACATTATGTAGAACAGACAACCATGCTTCTCGGTCATGTAGAATAGAACAGAGAATTGTGTGAGCTCTGAGGAGAAGGGGTCACGCTCAGTGAGGTGCAATGTAACTAGCGCTGAGCAATTAACCGACATTTCTGTTATTTTTCGGATTTTAAACAACTAATTGACTGACGTCGGTTCTTATTTCTTTCTGTGAGTTCAATAAGCACATTACACAGTTTCTGTAGAGGTAAATCATATCAAGCCCAAACTGTGCAATGTAGTAGGAAGTTGTAGTTTCCAACAGGCCAATATTCTACATAGTTGAGCGCAGAAAATGTGGCAATTAACTATAATGACCATAATCCATTGCGCGCTTACTTCTTCGGTCTGTGTTTCTTTTACACCTGCTACGTAAAAGAGACAGAAGAATGCGTGATCTAGAGGCATCTCTACTGGAAAATACAAGCTCTAAGTCAGGGATGGGTAACTTTGATGGGGTGGGGGCCACAACAAATCTGAACTCATCTGAGGGGCCGCAGTTGCTCGCGGGTACCCATATCCAACCGCCACTCTTGACAGCGGAGATAATATTTGTACATTTTTAAGTTAATTTCTGGCACATTTTGACATTGGGTGTAGAAATTTTTTTGCAGTTTTAAAGCAAGTTTGCTGCAATTCTACACATTTTGCCATGGGGCAGAGAGAATATTTTGCATGCAATTTTACTCATCTTGCCATTGGGCGTAGAGGAAAAAGAGTGGTTTTACATCTAATTTCCTGCAATTTTACACATTTTCCCATAGGGTGGAGAGAATAGTTTGCAGTTTTTATATGATATCTGAGTGAGACTGACAAAAAAATAATCTGTGGGGCCCCCCCGGCCAGTTATTCAACCATGATAGCAAGTTTAGATAGCTGGCCACTAAACAAACTTAGCAATCTAAAAACGTTTTGCTGACATGGGCTAATTGACTGACTATCAGTGACTAACATAACAAGATGAAAAACTGCTGATGCACAACCAAATTTCGAAATTACACCTTGTGTATTCTACTATTCTAACAGTAAGTTGAGACGACTGAGTTTCCCCAAAAAATATATATACATATATATTTGTATTTAATTTGTTATTGATCCGAAGGCCTTCAAAAGGCCAGTTTCCCATTCCTGATCTAAGTGATTGACAGTTGGTATTCAGCAGTCACAAAAGTATGCCTTATTTACTTTGAAGAATTACTAAAATAGTGAATTTGCCAGACAGCATAGGCAGCTCTATTGAGATGAGATGATGACTTGGAATGTAATAATAAAGTCTTCAAATAATACAAAATGTAATACACAACAACTGAAATATTTTAGTAAAGTAATGTGAATAAATTATGGTTAACAAGTGATAAGCAGTAATGGGCAGTCACTACCGTCATGGGACTTTTATTAATTGTTTTACTCTGTGTTACAGCATTCAACCCACATAATGTATATTGCATTTAATGTTTCCAAAAATCGAACCGACCTCAAAAAGCTCAGCACTAAATGTAACAAAACATTCAGATAGAAACACATGATGTAGAACAGACAACCATGCTTCTCAGTCATGTAGAATAGAACAGAGAATGATGTGAGCTCTAGAAAATACATTTCTATCTGCAAAATGTGGAGCTTTGCACCCACCAGAACACAACCCATTGTAATTTGATCGTCATTCAGTGTATCTGAAATGATGTGTGATTTGTGATTGTATATGAAAACAGTGTGGTCATACCTGGCACTCTTGACCGAACCTGGGCTAGCAGTGTCCATCTCTGGACAGATCTGCCTGAGCATGTCACAGTACTTCTGGGTCTTAAACTGGGTCGGGCACACAATGGCATTGCATCCGACCTGGACCAAGAGCAGGAAACTACATTATTACCACCAATTAACATCATACAACAGGTGCAGACATTACAGTGAAATGCTTACTGTTGGTTAAGGGCTGTAAGTAAGCATTTCACTGTAATGTCTGCACCTGTTGTATTCGGCGCATGTGACCAATACAATTTGATTTGATTTGATCAACATCATTGCCATTATCATCAAAATAAACAGTTTAAAAAGCAATCATCTCTGCACCCTACTTAAGAGCACCACACCCAGTGCAGCTTTCATAGAACAAAACATGACGTGCCAACTCAAGTGACCCACCTTTCTCAAAGCAAACTCCAACTCCTGCACCTGATAGGCTGGGTTCACAGACACCTGTCAGAAGACAAAGCATAACCACTGAAAACATCTGCTTTAATGTACTTGACTTCACAAAGAGGTTGCAAAAACGAGCATGCTTTCCCCTATTAAGATTCCTCCTTCTCCATGCCACCAGTGTCAGTGCTCACCAGTATGATGCCAGCCTTGGCTGAGGCAAACTGGAACAGGATCCACTCATATGTGTTGGGTCCCCACATGCCCAGTCTGTCCCCCCTCTTCAGTCCCAGTGCCAGAAGGCCTGCAGCAGCCTGGTCCACCTGAGCCATAATGGAGCACAGTTAGCACACAGAGGTAATTGTAATCAATAAATTAGATGGACGCTAGAATGTGATTCACAGCAGCATTGCTGAAAGAGACAGGGGAATAGAAAGAGACAGTTGAGTAAAACAGAAGCAATAGAGATATGGTTCTTACACACCAATGAACAGGAGTGCCACAAACTCCTAAAACATATCTAAAGGGGAAAAGGGTATTTTATAGTGCACATTTCAACATTGAATGAATCAGAACCGCATAAAGAAACTGCAGAAATCCATTATTGATTACCATTACTATCAATAGAACCTAAACAATTAAACCAAACTGAGTGAGCAGCACAGCTGGTTGTTATCCAGACATGCTGAACATGTGACATGTCTTTATCTCCGAATTAATGTTTAACTTCAAAAAAAGTCAAGGTTTGGCTATCTGAACTCTATACACTATGAATGCTATGCACAGTCATATCATTGGTAGCTGTATCCACAACAGGTAAGTGCAGAACAAATTAGTTTCATTGATACCAGATATCAGCTACTGCCTGGTTACCGTACTCCCAGGACAAATACTGTTAATACGTTTGGTGTCATTGGTCACATTTGAACTCAGCCCTAGTTTTCTGCTTTCATAACCTGGAGATCACACCAGGTTAGACTTTGCCTCTAACCCAGCTCACTGCGTTCTTCCAGCCATAGGGGTCTTGTTAGATAACCACAACTGCTTAAGAGAACACATATGTCCATGAAGTCATAGATTCATTTTTTAAATCTACAGGACAGAATGGTATCATGTGTAACAGGAGATAGTAAACAATATGATGAATTTTCATCAAATCAACCCCTTTCCTACATTTTATTTTCCAACAGTCTTGAAGGAGTTACCACATACGCTGAGCACTTGTTGGCTGCTTTTCCTTCACTCTGCCGTCCGACTCATCCCAACCCATCTCAATTGGGTTGAGGTCGGGGGATTGTGGAGGCCATGTCATCTGATGCAGCACTCCATCACTCTCCTTCTTGGTAAAATAGCCCTTACACAGCCTGGAGGTGTGTTGGGTCATTGTCCTGTTGAAAAACAAATGATAGTCCCACTAAGCCCAAACCAGATGGGATGGCGTAGCGCTGCAGAATGCTGTGGTAGCCATGCTGGTTAAGTGTGCCTTGAATTCTAAATAAATCACAGATAGTGTCACCAGCAAAGCACCCCCACACCATAACACCTCATGCTTTACGGTGGGAACTACACATGTGGAGATCATCCGTTCACCCACACCGCGTCTCACAAAGACACGGCTGTTTGAACCAAAAATCACAAATTTGGTCTCCAGACCAAAGGACAAATCTCCACCAGTCTAATGTCCATTGCTTGTGTTTCTTGGCCCAAGCAGGTCTCTTCTTCTTATTGGTGTCCTTTAGTAGTCGTTTCTTTGCAGCAATTCGACCATGAAGGCCTGATTCACGCAGTCTCCTCTGAACAGTTGATGTTGAGATGTGTCTGTTCCTTGAACTCTGTGAAGCATTTATTTGGGCTACAATTTCTGAGGCTGGTAACTCTAACGAACTTATCCTCTGCAGCAGAGGTAACTCTGGGTCTTCCATTCCTGTGGCGGTCCTCGTGAGAGCCAGTTTCATCATAGCGCTTGATGGTTTTTGCGACTGCACTCGAAGAAACCTTCGAAATTCTTGAAATGTTCCATATTGACTGACCTTCACGTCTTAAAGTAATGATAGAATTACGTTTCTCTTTACTTATTTGAGCAGTTCTTGCCATAATATGGATTTGGTCTTTTACCAAATAGGGCTATCTTCTGTATACCCCCCTACCTTGTCACAACACAACTGATTTGCTCAAACGCATTAAGAAGGAAAGAAATTCCACAAATTAACTTTTAAGAAGGCCCACCTGTTAATTTAAATGCATTCCAGGTGACTACCTCATGAAGCTGGTTGAGAGAATGCCAAGAGTGTGCAAAGCTGTCATCAAGGCAAAGGGTGGCTATTTCAAGAATCTCAAATACAAAATATATTTGGATTTGTTTAACACTTTTTTGGTTACTACATGATTCGATGTGTGTTATTTCATAGTTTTGATGTCTTCACTATTATTCTACAATGTAGAAAATAGTAAAAATAAAATAAAAACCCTTGAATGAGTAGGTGTGTCCAAACTTTGACTGGTAGTGTATGTTTAAGTACCATATTTAATTAAGTAGTTTTCACTTGTTAGTCTATAATTATCTGTAACTAAGTATGGATGTTCCTACCTTTGACCTGTTTAACTGCCAGTATCAAATGCCTGCCAGCATTGAATGTTATGGTTAAAGTTTGACCCCAGACTGAGCCGAGGGCACACTGATAATGTACAGTATCTGTGAAACTGTGTGATTCTGTAGCACAGGGATGGGCAACTGGCGGCCGCCCTTCTGTAGGCCCGCTGATTAGCGGCGCGGCGGGTGGGTTTAGAGTCATGAAATATTGTGTGGATGGAGGGCTGGTGGGTGGCGGGCAGGTTGAATAAAGAGAAAACAATACATCAGGGCTGCCAGCTTTTGAAGAAAGCTTGGAGTGAGATTTGCCATGTGAATTTCATTGCCCCGTGGCACAACCCCTGGATGGGGATTTTCTTTACTGTTTTAAAGCAAATTTCCTGCAATTCTATTCATTCTGAAATGGCTTAGGCCTATGACCAGGGTGGAACATTTAAAAATAAAAACCACAGGTCCGGTATATTCAGGATGCCTTGAACATCAAATGAATACTCAAAATTGGACGACTTTGTTACTTTGAGATTTTGAAGGAATGAAATTGAAAGTATGCTAATATTTTTTTAACATATTTTTTTGGTGGTTTGACACTTTATTCAGACAGTAATTAAATAAGATAGGGAGACAGGCAAATGCTAGAAACAGGTGAAAAGTTGTGTGCGACATGTGGCGGGGAGTGTTACCACTACACCAAGGCTCTCTACACAGTAAATATTGATGGTTGATGGCAGTGCGTAGCCAAATCATAGATTGTAGTCTCCTTGTCCATAGACTGCTTTTAAGATAGAAATGGAAATATTTTGTCATTTGGGTGAACTCTTTAAAATAGGGCTGGAAGAAAATCCTGCTTGCTCTCCAGGAGAGTTGCCCACCCCTGATCTACAGTGGGGGAAAAAAAGTATTTAGTCCGCCACCAATTGTGCAAGTTCTCCCACTTAAAAAGATGAGAGAGGCCTGTAATTTTCATCATAGGTACACATCAACTATGACAGACAAAATTAGAAAAAAAATGATGTGATGATTTGGGGCTGTCGCTGGGCAACACGGACTTTCAACTCCCTCCAAAGATTTTCTATGGGGTTGAGATCTGGAGACTGGCTAGGCCACTCCAGGACCTTGAAATGCAACTACACGTCAACTATGACAGACAAATTGAGATTTTTTTTCTCCAGAAAATCACATTGTAGGATTTTTAATTAATTAATTTGCAAATTATGGTGGAAAATAAGTATTTGGTCACCTACAAACAAGCAAGATTTCTGGCTCTCACAGACCTGTAACTTCTTCTTTAAGAGGCTCCTCTGTCCTCCACTCGTTACCTGTATTAATGGCACCTGTTTGAACTTGTTATCAGTATAAAAGACACCTGTCCACAACCTCAAACAGTCACACTCCAAACTCCACTATGGCCAAGACCAAAGAGCTGTCAAAGGACACCAGAAACAAAATTGTAGACCTGCACCAGGCTGGGAAGACTGAATCTGCAATAGGTAAGCAGCTTGGTTTGAAGAAATCAACTGTGGGAGCAATTATTAGGAAATGGAAGACATACAAGACCACTGATAATCTCCCTCGATCTGGGGCTCCACGCAAGATCTCACCCCGTGGGGTCAAAATGATCACAAGAACGGTGAGCAAAAATCTCAGAACCACACGGGGGGGACCTAGTGAATGACCTGCAGAGAGCTGGGACCAAAGTCTACCATCAGTAACACACTACGCCGCCAGGGACTCAAATCCTGCAGTGCCAGACGTGTCCCCCTGCTTAAGCCTGTACATGTCCAGGCTCGTCTGAAGTTTGCTAGAGTGCATTTGGATGATCCAGAAGAGGATTGGGAGAATGTCATATGGTCAGATGAAACCAAAATAGAACTTTTTGGTAAAAACTCAACTCGTCGTGTTTGGAGGACAAAGAATGCTGAATTGCATCCAAAGAACACCATACCTACTGTGAAGCATGGAGGTGGAAACATCATGCTTTGGGGCTGTTTTTCTGCAAAGGGACCAGGACGACTGATCCGTGTAAAGGAAAGAATGAATGGGGCCATGTATCGTGAGATTTTGAGTGAAAACCTCCTTCCATCAGCAAGGGCATTAAAGATGAAACGTGGCTGGGTCTTTCAGCATGACAATGATCCCAAACACACCGCCCGGGCAACGAAGGAGTGGCTTCGTAAGAAGCATTTCAAGGTCCTGGAGTGGCCTAGCCAGTCTCCAGATCTCAACCCCATAGAAAATCTTTGGAGGGAGTTGAAAGTCCGTGTTGCCCAGCGACAGCCCCAAATCATCACATCATTTTTTTTCTAATTTTGTCTGTCATAGTTGATGTGTACCTATGATGAAAATTACAGGCCTCTCATCTTTTTAAGTGGGAGAACTTGCACAATTGGTGGCTGACTAAATACTTTTTTCCCCCACTGTACATAAAATATGCATCAAGCCGAACTGAAACATTATCAGAAACATGTTGGGTCATTTTCACAGCTTTCTATTTCCTTGTCAAACTGATGTCATTTGGATATTTTGCACAGAAAATCGTTCCAGTTTTATTTGTTATTGCATTTTCTCCCCGGTGCCTAAACACCTTTGCTCAGCAAGAGAAAAAGTTACTGATTTCAACTAGATTGAAGCATTAATTATATCGATTTATGACATTATTCTGGTGAGCAAGGATTTGTTTAGATTTCTAGAGCAAAATACAGTATAATGACAAGAAAAGCTGCATTAAAGCTACTTCTAATTATAGACAGTTGACTAACACATTTGAGAGCTTGGGACTATAAGGTTCTATCTGCAAAAAATGAAACACTGTCAGCTTTTACGTCACTGAAATAAATTGCACTTTTAGGCTACACAACAGGTCCCTAAGCGCGCAATCCCATTCTCTCAAGATGCTGAAATAAATAAATCAAGACCTGTCTGCTAAACGCAAGCAATTCATTCCGATCAGACAGTCACTGGAGGAAAAAGGAATCAAGTCTCAATTCCGATTCCCGGCAGTGCTGTGGGTATGGAAGGGAACACAGAGGATGGAGTTCACAAGCGCCGATGAAGCCCTGAACAGGCTGTAGGAAACCTTTCCAGATGAACGAGAGCCCAATGCCCCGAGGAGAGGAAGAAGCGGGAAAAAGTGGTAAGCACACTAGGCTACATACAGTAATGCCCAAGACCAGCTTATCGTAAATTGAAACAATATTATTTCCCTCACCCCCAATACAATCTAGACTATATTCTCCTCAAGTAACTGTTCTTCTCTAGGAAGTAACAATAGAATTAGCCAATGCCAATGAGATGCATGGACACTGCAAAGACAATATAAAAGAGGAAATATAGCATGTACTGTTTGTCAGTAACCACGTTTTCCATCCACAGTTTTTATGCGAGTAAAGTCATACCATAAAAAAATTAATAATGACAGCTGTGATGGAAACAGGAAGTTTCGGTAAAATTGTATAAATGCAAACAGATAATTTGTTCGTTCGACATGGTGGAATCTTTTTGTGTCTGTAAAAGTAATTATGCGAGAAATGGCGGTGGAAATGCCTTTACGCGCAAATATTGATATAATAACCATAATATCGAAATAAACTTGGAGTCACGCGTTAATATGTGTGTGTGGTCCTCCCACTACGACTCGAAAAACCACACAGTTTATTAGGCTACAGATTAAATAAGTTATGATGAACTTCACAGGGTGGTGAAAGTGCACAGTGATCTTGATGCTCCTTTCCAATAATATATTGAGGGTCTTATTCTGGTGACATGATGAAAGATGCTTGACTGCGTTTGACAAATACAAATATTCTCACTCTTATCCATAATAATCTCATCATGTAGACTAGCCAACCCACACTGTATCTGCGAGCTGTTGGCTAGAGTGCATGTGCCAAGACCAGAGTAAGCACATTTGCTATTTAACACAACAGTAGAGTTGAAAATTCCATATTTATTAGGTACATGAAAAATTAAGTGAAAAAGTACATTTTGTGTGCACTACTACATCATCACCCACTCATTTGGTGGAAACACACCACTGGTGGGAAAATGCACATATTTTATTTATGCGGATTCCAGAATATTCACATGAAAATCTGTCGCCAAATGGATTGAAACTTAGCTAGTAATTGTCAATAATTGTTCTATGGATGTGTGTGTGTGTGTGGGCGAGAGGGTGTGAGTGGGTTTGTGTGTGTCTGTGCATATGAATGGGAGAGTGAAGGAGGGTGAATATAAATATGTATAGGAGGGCGGGAGAGAATGGGTGTGCGGAGGCATAGGGTATATGTTGTGTGTGAATGAAGGAGAATGGATGAGTAAGTAGATGTAAAGAGGAGTGTAAATTTGTCTGAGAAGATAAGACAGGGGAAAAGACAGGTTGGGATAAACTTGGCCTGGGTGGGTAAGAGAGGGCAAGGATGGGGGTTGGTGACAAGCTTGGCCAACAAAATCTAATTTATCACATAGAATGTGCACTGGCTCCATGGGAGAAAAAAAAAAAGCATATAATTCTCGAACACTTAGAGATTGTCAGCAGATGTGGTTTTCTTGCAAGAGTTACATTTAAATAAAGGAGAAATGTAATATTTAAAGAGGAGTTGGGTTGGAGAGGCCTATTCTGCCACCTACTGTAGCAACAGTAAAACTGTAGGCATCTTGATAAATAAGAATACACAATGTTCCCTTATATCCCAGCATATTTTCTCATTTTGAATTGTACAGTACCTTACATGGTGACAAATATACATTGCTTTCATTGTATATCCCACCAGGGGCAAATCTGGTGTTTTTAGATAAATTCAAGCTATATTAGATCAAATCCAGACAGGAACTATTCTTTTAGCAGGTGACCTAAATCATACATTTGATAAAATTGACAGACGTAGTAATAAAAAAGGCACATTTAGGTAGCCTCCAAAAAGGAAAAAAAAAAAAATCTCAACAAATAATTTACTAGGACACCTGGAGATTACTATTCCCAACTAAAAAAGATTATTCATTTTTTTCTCAAAGTAACAAAAGCTATTCAAGAATGCACTCAACAATTTACTGGATTCAAACATTCATGATATAATGACACCAATAGAAAATATACTTAGCGACAGAATTTGGAGAATGAAATTTACTAAATACGTAAACAAAAAAATTCTAACCTTTACCATTACAAATGTAGACATAGAGGACAGAGAAAAGCCGACCCCCAAAATAATTTGGGGTGCCTTTAAGGTGTACATTAGGGGAATGATAATATCATACTCGGCAAAAATTTAATTTTAATTTCTAAATCAGATTTAAGAAAAATAAAGCACTCTCTTAGAAAAAGCCCATAAAAAATCTTTACAAGTTAAAAGACGAAAATACAATTTCTGAACATAAGCAGGAATACGATCTTTTACTTTTGAAGAGAGCCAACAACTACAGGTTAAACTCAAATAAAGCATACTACTTATTGGAAAATAAACCTGATAAATATCTCACAGCTCTCACAAAACCAATACACGCTAAACCAGTTATAATTTTAAATGCGGTAATTAGAAACAACAATGCGATTAATGACCATTTTAAAAGCTTCTATGAAAATGTACTGTATATAAATCAAAATTAAACAACAGTTGGAAGGATCCTACAGCCTTCTTAGACTTAGCAACCCTGACGCAATTATCAGCAGACAACAAATAATCACTAAAAACAGAGGTCACCCAAAAATAAATATTAGATACTGTTAAAACATTCACGCGGAGAAAGCACCAGGAATGGATGGCTTTCCCATTGATTTCCATTCAACATTTTGGGACAAAGTAGCACCCCCATTTACACAATTGACAACACACACATCACTCAATTCAATACTTCCTAGTTCCATGTATCAAAAGTTATTTAAGTTATATTAAAACCAGGAATCTCTGGAGAGTCCCCTGCTGATTATAGACCCATAAGTTTAATAAATTGTGATAATAAAATAATAACAAAGCTTATAAGAAATTGAATGGCAAAAATTCTGGCTTGATACATATCAAACAGGGTTTATTAAAAATAGATACTTACAAACAAATACAATAACATTTTTCAGTTTAATACAATACGCAAAAAAACTAGATATAGATTTGTCAATAATGGCTGTTGATGCCGAAAAGGCTTTCGACAGTCTTGAATGGCCTTTTCTATTCAAAACTTTGTAAGCTTTCAACTTTCCAGCTGAAACAATGAATTTTATAAAACTATTATATAAATGTCCTAAAGCTAAAATATCCCAAATAATACATTATCTGATGGCCCCTCTCCCCCCTCCTGTTTGCACTGGCAACTGAACCGCTTACAGAAATAATTAGACAGGACCCAAACGTAACAGGTATCATGGTAAACATGAATATAACTCAACTTATTTGCAGATGATCTCCCGATATACCTGACCAATATTGAAAACTCAATGCCCCCTTTGCAAAAAAGATTTTAGGAATACTCTAAAATCTCAGGATATAAAATTAATGTGGTAAAAAAACGAAATAAAGGCAATAGGACAAAGAATAACTCACAATCTACAGCAATCCTTTAAGTGGACCACAAAAAATATGAAATACTTAGGATGCTTAATAAGTGACAACAAACAACAAATATATAAAGATAACTTTATTCAATTACTTAACAGTATGAAAGCAGATCTAATTAAATGGAACAATCTTCCCATAAATCTTACATGTAGAATAAACCTCTTCAGAATGGCATGGCTCCGAATGTTTTTTTATTAATTTTTGGTAATACCAATTACCCACCGAAGACATTCTTTAAAAAAGTGTCATAACATACTTTTTATGGGCAAATAAAATTAATAGAATAAAAAGGAACGTTTTACATCTTCCTAAGTCTGAGGGTGGTTTTAACCTTGTATCAACTCGCTACCCAATGCTTTTACTTGCCACATACAGTTAAAGATGCAATATGCAGAAATCGCTCCGCTATTTTCCTGGTTGCTAAAATTCTAATAGTTCGCCTAATTTCAGTTTATGTGGCAAAACAAGCAATGTATAGAGAATAATTGTACCATCTAAACCACTGTGAAATATATTTTCAATAACCAAAAAGAAGCTGGTGTACAAAACCGAAAGTAAAAGATACAAAAACGAAACTTAAGAATGGGAGGCATAGAAATAGCGCACATAGAACAGATCTACCGCTTCTTAGACTTGCTGTCAATGAGAATGACAGCAAGTATAACAAAATGTCACTTAGTGACCCCAAAAGGCTAGGGCTGGCTCTGACTGCATGTGTGGGTATGGATGCGAGTACGCTGACCCACGAGAAGCCATTTTATGTACTCTTATGTTTTACTGTATTCATATTGCAAACAATAACAAACTTCGCTTGTTTTTTTTTAAATATCTGCCTCCATACTGTTTCCATTAAATGGGCCTAGAACATGCTGTTTCAATTAGATGTTACAATTCCTTTGGGAGGGGGCGAGAGGACATGGGTCTTGGCTCTGTCTGAAAAGTGTGCAAGCCTCAAAATCCTTGATTCCTTAACTCCCTCGCCTTGGATCTCCTCCTCCAATGAGCTTTGGGATGGAGGCAAGGAGTTGAGGAATCAAGGATTTGAAGGCTTGCATACACTACAGAAAGAGCCCTTGTGTACCCCTAATCTGTTTGGCATAGGATTAGTACAAAATAGGAAGTAGACACCACTCACATCCTGCTGGAGCTGTGAGAAGGTCTTCCTGACCCCATCCTGTAGGAACACTACAGCCTCCCGGTCTGGAAAGCGTTCAGCTGCAGCCTGGAGACTCCCACCGACCGTACTGAAGAGCAGAGACTTGGAGGAGGTGCCGTGGGCATAACTGGTGGTGAGTGTGGGGATAGTGGGTGGACTGTCCACATGGACTGCACTAGGTGGGACAACAGAGAGAGCTGAAGTCACAGATCTGAAATGGTCTGGGGTTTAAAAGTCAAACAAACTGGAGTTTACATTTACATTTACGTCATTTAGCAGACGCTCTTATCCAGAGCGACTTACATTATTATTATTATTTTTCATACCCCCTGTGGGAATCGAACCCACAACCCTGGCGTTGCAAACGCCATGCTCTATCAACTGAGCTACATCCCTGCCGGCCATTCCCTCCCCTACCCTGGACGACGCTGGGCCAATTGCACGCCGCCCCATGGGTCTCCCGGTCACGGCCGGCTACGACAGAGCCTGGATTCGAACCAGGATCTCTAGTGGCACAGCGATGCAGTGCCTTAGACCACTGCGCCACTCAGGAGACAGGAGTTAAAGGGTCTGAGTGAGATCTGGTTTGTACAAAGCCTTTAGATTAATATGGAATTCAACAAAGGGTGATATTCATAAGAGGATTTTCAGAAAAATTATGGGAGCCATGGAAACAGTTTGAATAGGACATTGTCTTTTTTGTTGTTTTTTTACCTTTATTTAACTAGGCAAATCAGTTAAGAACAAATTCTGATTTACAATGACGGCCTACACCGGCCAAACCCGGACGACGCTGGGCCAATTGTGCGACGCCCTATGGGACTCCCAATTACGGTTGTGATACAGCCTGGAATCGAACCAGGGGGTCTGTAGTGACGCCTCAAGCACTGAAATGCAGTGCCTTAGACCGCTGCACCACTCGGGAGCCCACTCAGGAGTTTGAGATGGGGTCATATGGAGTGTCAAAATGGGGCCTACTGTAGGGAAAAGCAGTCCAAGTAAATTAGTTAAATGGTTAGGGGGTGAGACGGATGAGGACAGGGAGGGCGAATGGGACTCAAGGGCCAGGGAGGGGGTGGCGCACCTTCTACACTATGGACAGAGGGAGAAGAAATGCATTGGTCAGGCTAGACATTTAGGCCGTGTATTCTGATTATGGCGTTCTGCTAATGGAATTCCGAACACATCAAGCGTCTACACATACAATACATTTAAATGTGTCTACCTACCGTGTCCACATTGTGTCCGGATTCCCTTTTTCCACGCAATATTCAAATGCCTGTATGCATTCTACAAACGGTGGAACAGGCTAAATCTGATAATAACACAATTTACTGGCAGTAGCCAACTACTGTAACTAACTAGCCCGCTAACCTCTGTAACTGGGCAGCAAGCTAGCTAGCAAAGCTAAAAGGGATTACAAACAGGTTAACATAACGCAAACAAAAATGTTTTTTTTCTAAATAAACTAGCTGGCTAGCATTTATGAAGCCAGCCAACACGTTCCTCACATGCTAGGAATCCATTTCCTCCAACGTTAAATGAAAAATGGTGCCTCCTCCCTCCCAAAACACAAGTTCTATTTCACTTGAGGGACTATGCTAGTGATAAATGCAATGCTGGCTTGGCTTCAGCTGATGCCGATTCCACCTGTATGATGTGCCTAGGCTTAGAGTATGTATTGTGCTACTCTCGGCCCACGCCTATATGAAGCACGATTGGCTATGATGAAGGAGACAAATGCTAGAGGCTCTGGGAGCGGCCTCAGATGTAAACAATGCTCCTGATCGGCCCGCCCACCAAGCACTCCAAAAAGGACAGGGGACCTACTCTGGATGAGTTGGAGGCCCAGGCAGCCGCTCTGTCTTCGCAGCTCTGCTCTCTCAACCAAACAGACTCTGTTGAAGACTTAAGACAGGAACCTGATACTATCTAGACTAAGAGACCTCTGAGGCCGGTTCTGGGTCAGAGAACATTGGAAAAGAGAGGGCTGAGAGTGAAGCGCCCTGTTCATCAGCTGATATGCAGGAGCTCCTCTCTAGGGTTCTGAAAGCTCTGGATTTTAATCCAAACCCTAACAGCAGCTTGGGCAGAGTGTACATTCTTCAGTGCCCCAAGTTCTCCAATGAACTGCGTCAAATTTGGGCTAAGGTGAACTCGAGGTTCTATGTCTCAAGCCAGTGCAAGCCTTGGACCTTCATGGCTTCCCCCAAGGAGTTGGGACTGTACCAGTACCCCGTCATGAACCCCATTGTTGCGGCCATGGTCCTCCCAGACAAGGAGACCATTGGTAGGTCTCCCCGCTGTCCTCCGGGACCTCATCGGGCTGCTGACGACCACTTAAAAAAGACACCTTCCTGACATTGGCCATGGTGGCTCGCCTCATGAATGTGACTACTCTGCTGCAGGCATACCTGCACAGTCTGATAGCTCGCCTGTCCAACGACTGTGACTCTGACGGCTGAAATGACTCCTCTCCCTCTTAAAAGCTGAGATGTGCTAATGGCAAAGCCCTGTCTACAGTCATCTTTGGCTCTCACAGACAAAGATGTCGGCCTCCGTGAAGAAACACTTTGTGGCGCTCCCCATCTCCCCAGGCCAAATTTTTGGTCCTGGTGTGGACCACATTTTGGACCAAACAGCGAAGCTGCAGAAGGACAGAGAGACCCTGGAGTCTTTCATGGGTCCCTCTGCCCTGCGTTACCCTACCCAGAGACAATTGTAGTCTAGACCTCAGCTTTCCCCTGCCTTGAAAGGCCACTTGGGTCCTCCCCCAAACCAGCCACGCCCTGATCAGCCACATCAATAGGCTCTGGATCAGCAGTGGCGCCCCCACCAGCACAGGCAGCAGCACAACAAGCACAGTCCATCTGCTCCGAAGGACGATGGGCCCCCTCAGTCATCCTGATGGGTGTGGCCCTGGCAACGGCCACTTCTCCCACGCCCATCGGCCAAAGTGGGAGGAGCTTGTGGAGTCCCCCTGGGTGCTGGATACAGTACTCCAGTTCTGATGCCGGCCATCACCTTTCAGAGGGTTTTGGTTAACTACAACAGCCGACCCCCTGAAAAGAGATGCTCTCCAACTAGAGATTGCATTCTTCTCCAGCAGGGAGGCAATCAGACAACTCAAACCATCAAAACAGCACAGTGGGTTCTAAGGAGTATATTTCCTAGTCCCCAAGCGGGATGGTGGCTTTTGCCCCATCCTGGACTTGAGGCCTCTCAAACGGTGCTTGAAAACCCTGCCATCTCCGTCCCAGGCCAGTGGTTCACCACTGTCGACCTAAAAGATGCCTACTTCCACATACCGATCCACCCGGCTCACAGGAAGTTCCTGCACTTTGCATTCAACCGCATAGCGTATGAGTGCCAAGTGTTACCTTTCGGCCTCTTCCTGGCACCAAGAACATTCACAAAATGCATGGATGCCACTCTAGCACCCCTAACATCACAAGGGATTTTAGTACTAAATTACCTAGACGATTGGCTAATCTGTGCTCAGTCACGAGAACAGGTAGCAGCAGACATGACATCTCTCCTGAAGCACATTTCAGAGCTAGGCCTCCGGTTGAACATGCAAAACAGCTACCTGGTCCCCACACAAACTGTAATGTCCGTGGGCATGCGGATCGACTAGTCTCTAATGAGGGCTCACCTCACCGACGAGCGAGTCCAGAAAATTGCAGATCACCTCAATCCTTTTGTCCAAGACCAGAAGGTGACTGTTCTTCAGTGTAAGAGACTGATGGGTCTCCTCCCCCTAGATGCCCTGGCCCACGAGTGGCTGAGGAAGAGGCTATACACTCTGGACAAAATCAGGGAAGTGGTCCACCAGGTCCTTCTGATTGCCCCGAGATGGCTCAGACGCCACTGATTCAGCACAATACTGTCACTCCGAGGTAGTTCCCATGCTGTCCCTGCTAGGAGGCCAGACCTCTTGTCGCAGACGGATGGCACATTGTGGCATCCGAATCCCTCCCGCCTGAAGCTGTGGGCCTGGCCGCTGAACAGCGAAAATGGTCTGATTTAGATCTTGAGCCCTCTGTTGTTAACATCTTACAGAGTGCCAGGGCCCCGTCCACCACGTTAGATGCTGTTCTTCTACTAATCTCACTACTCTCTCGCTCTCCTCCAACATTACTCACTCTGCCCCTACTCAGATGGTAATGCGCCGTCGCAACCTTCGCTCTCTCTCTCCTCTTCCATCCTATCATCTCTTCCCTCTGCTCAATCCTTCTCCCTCCAATCTCCTGATTCTGCCTCCTCAACCCTCCTCTCCTACCTTTCTGCATCCTTTGACTCTCTATGTCCCCTATCCTCCCGGCCGGCTCGGTCCTCCCCTCCAGCTCCGTGGCTTGATGACTCATTGCGAGCTCACAGAACAGGGCTCCGGGCAGCCGAGCGGAAATGGAGGAAAACTAGACTCCCTGCGGACCTGGCATCTTTTCACTCCCACCTCTCTACATTTTCTTCATCTGTTTCTGCTGCTAAGGCCACTTTCTACCACTCTAAATTCCAAGCATCTGCCTCTAACCCTAGGAAGCTCTTTGCCACCTTCTCCTCCCTGCTGAATCCCCCTCCCCCCCTTCTCCCTCTCTGTGGATGACTTCGTCAACCATTTTGAAAAGAAGGTTGACGACATCCGATCCTCGTTTGTTAAGTCAAATGACACTGCTGGTCCTGCTCACACTGCCCTACCCTATGCTTTGACTTCTTTCTCCCCTCTCTCTCCAGATAAAATCTTGCGACTTGTGACGGCCGGCCGCCCAACAACCTGCCCGCTTGACCCTATCCCCTCCTCTCTTCTCCAGACCATCTCCGGTGACCTTCTCCCTTACCTCACCTCGCTGATCAACTCATCCTTGACCGCTGGCTATGTCATTTCCGTCTTCAAGAGAGCGAGAGTTGCACCCCTTCTCAAAAAACCAACACTCGATCCTTCTGATGTCAACAACTACAGACCAGTATCCCTTCTTTCTTTTCTCTCCAAAACTATTGAGCGTGCCGTCTTTAGCCAACTCTCTTGCTATCTCTCTCAGAATGACCTTCTTGATCCAAACCAGTCAGGTTTCAAGACTGGTCATTCAACTGAGACTGCTCTTCTCTGTGTCACGGAGGCTCTCCGCAATGCTAAAGCTAACTCTCTCTCCTCTGCTCTTGTCCTTCTAGACCGGTCTGCTGCCTTTGATACTGTGAACCATCAGATCCTCCTCTCCACCCTCTCCGAGCTGGGCATCTCCGGCGTGGCTCACTCTTGGATTGCGTCCTACCTGACCGGTCGCTCCTACCAAGTGGCGTGGCGAGAAGCTGTCTCCGCACCACATGCTCTCACCACTGGTGTCCCCCAGGGCTCAGTTCTAGGCCCTCTCCTATTCTTGCTATACACCAAGTCACTTGGCTCTGTCATATCCTCACATGGCCTCTCCTAGCATTGCTACGCAGACGACACACAACTAATCTTCTCCTTTCCCCCTTCTGATAACCAGGTGGCGAATCGCATCTCTGCATGTCTGGCAGACATATCAGTATGGATGACGGATCACCACCTCAAGCTGAACCTTGGCAAGACGGAGCTGCTCTTCCTCCCGGGGAAGGACTGCTCGTTCCATGATCTCGCCATCACGGTTGACAACTCCGTTGTGTCCTCCTCCCAGAGTGCGAAGAGCCTTGGCGTGACCCTGGACAACACCCTGTCGTTCTCCGCTAACATCAAGGCGGTGACCCGATCCTGTAGGTTCATGCTCTACAACATTCGGAAAGTACGACCCTGCCTTACACAGGAAGCGGCACAGGTCCTAATCCAGGCACTTGTCATCTCCCGTCTGGATTACTGCAACTCGCTGTTGGCTGGGCTCCCTGCCTGTGCCATTAAACCCCTACAACTCATCTAGAATGCCGCAGCCCGTCTGGTGTTCAACCTTCCCAAGTTCTCTCACGTCACCCCGCTCTTCCGCACACTACACTGGCTTCCAGTTGAAGCTCGCATCTGCTACAAGACCATGGTGCTTGCCTACGGAGCTGTCAGGGGAACGGCACCTCCGTACCTTCAGGCTCTGATCAGTCCCTACTCCCAAACGAGGGCATTGCGTTCATCCACCTCTGGCCTGCTGGCTCCCCTACCTCTGCTGAAGCACAGTTCCCGCTCAGCCCAGTCAAAACTGTTCGCTGCTATGGCACCCCAATGGTGGAACAAGCTCCCTCACGACGCCAGGACAGCGGAGTCACTCACCACCTCTTTGTGTTCCGGAGACATTTGAAACCCCACCTCTTTAAGGAACACCTGGGATAGGATAAAGTAATCCTTCTACCCCCCCCCCCCCCCCCCAAATTAAAATATATATATATATATATATTGAAAAGTGGTTATCCCACTGGCTATAAGGTGAATGCACCAATTTGTAAGTTGCTCTGGATAAGAGCGTCTGCTAAATGACGTAAATGTAAATGTTAACCTATGACACGAGGTGGTGCGTGTTCTGCCAGTTGTGTGGGGAGCAGGGGGTTGCTCCAGAATCTTGCAACATAAAAACTGTGCTCCAGTTCTTAAGGTCTTTGTTCGAAGCTGGCAGGGCTGCATCCACACTTAAGGTATACGCTGCAGCCATTTCAGCATGTCATGATGAAGAGCAGGATAGTCCACTTGGCAGCCATCCGCTCACGGCAAGGTTTCTTAAGGGAGTCCGTTGATTAAGCCCCGCAAGAGCCCCCTCAGTTCCCAACTGGGATTTGGATCTGGTTCTTGGAGCAGGGGCGGTGTGTTCATTAGGGCGATATGGGCGACGCACTGCCAAACGGGAAAAGGAAGGGATTTTTTTTCTAATCAATTATATCACGGCAACAGTAGTTATCAGTGTTCTAATCTAGACGTCTGATCTGCCACTAAATGTCCAATCAGGCTAAAGTCGTGCTTCAAATGGCCCCGCCCCTTTTGGGGCGATTTCAGTCAGGTTGAAAATCGCCCCAGAAGTCTCTCATACTCTCATGTAAAATCTTTTTTTTTCAAATATCAGAGCTTTCAATACAATCTCTATGGGTTCCGGGAGGGCTTGCACTTACGCGCTTTCGTCATACGTAACATAACCATGAACATAACTAAGAAAAGAGCGGGTAGCAGCGTCAATCAATTCACGTACTACTGTCAAGATGGCTAGCGTTCAGTGCAACTAGATTGTCTCTTTGAAAGAAGTTCCTTTTTGTCGGCGAACAAATCAAGATAAATTGGCAACGAAACAATTAGGACCTCCCAGACCAAATTTAATAATTCAACAGGTTTCTACTAAAGGGGGAAAGTCCTACACCCGAGGATTTTCCAAAAATTGGTACGAACGAAAAACCTGGCTAGCAGGCTGCGATGTAGCTAATGCAGTCTTCTGCTACCCCTGCTTA